GACGGACGAGCGGGCCGGCCGGGCATGCCGCTCGGAGCGCCGCGGTCCTCGTGCCAGTGAGCGCACCGCCGCCGCAGCCATGACGGTGGAGTTCGAGGAGTGCATCAAGGACTCGCCGCGCTTCAGGTGCGCCCCCGGACGCGGCGCGGCCCTTTGTGGTCGTCGGGGGTCGCCGCCCCCTCCGGGCACCCGGGGCCGCCGTGGGTGGGCGCAGAGGGGGGCTGTCGTTGCCACCTTTGTGACGGGCGCGGGAGCCGGTGATGGGAGCTGGAGGACCCCGCCTCGGACAAAGCCCGCAGCCCCGGGCCCAAAGGCCTTAAACAAAAGATGCCCCTTCTGCTGGTCACTTCGGGCGGAGGTTGTGCGCGTGGGGGTGGGGTGGCCGGCAGTATAGACACCTCTCCGTGGGAGTGTCCACCCCCGCTTTGTGTCCGCACCTTCGTGCTGGCCACCTGCACAGGGCTGAGACCCTCCTGGCCCTGCAGTCCAGCTCTGGCCAGGGTGGTCTGGGTGCGAGGGGTGTCTGTCCCAGGGATAGGTCTTCATCCGTGTGACCAGAGCAGTGCATGGGGGTCAGGCAGCCGGAGCCACGTTTTCAGCCTGGGGCCAGCTGCTTGGCAGGGGTGACCTAGGGGCCTTGAGGGTGGGGTCTGGGCTGAGCAAGGCTGGGTGGGAGTTCCGGGCAGGGGTTGTGCACTGTGCCCAGCCCTGGGTTGGTCTTTTTAGTCCTTCGTGGGAGTGCAGGCTTGCTCATCCATGTGCACCACGGAGCACCTTCTGTGTAGCAGGTGCATAGGTGTGAGCTCTGCTCCTCTGGAGCCTCCCTGGCGGGGCCAGACCCTGAATGTGTGGGTGGGCTGCACCCCTGGGCTGGCGTGCTTGATGTGTGCACGTGTGCGTGTCACTTCTAACCCCTCTTGTGGGTGCATACTTGTACTATGTGTTTATCATGCACACGGGAGCTTTAGCACAAAACACCCACGTTAGTTTGTTCACGTACATTCCGGCACCGTGCATACGTGTCCGTACGCCTGTGTGTGTGTCCTCTCCGTGAGCACACATCTGTGTGTACACCGTGTCACTACATGCGAGTACACTTGCTTGCACATGAGCACACGTGTGTTTGGTCATGCGTGTGTGTGCCTGCTGAGTCTGTGGTGTGCCAGCAAGAGGACCTGCGTGTGGATGCGCTGGTGAGCCCAGGCATTGGTGCCCTTACCCCCGGGCCCCTTGCACAACCATCACACAGGGGTGTCAGCAGCAAAGGCTTGGGGAGACTAGGGATGAGGGGTCAAGGGTTGGCCCAGGGAGGGGCCCCAGGGCAGAGGGTTTGGGGTAATTCTCTGCCTTCTCCCATCTGCTGTTGCTGACTGATTGAGGGAGGGGGTGTGAGCAACTCAGGCACCCACAATCCTGGGCCCCCACCACTGCCCACTGTCCTCCAGGACCCAGGCTGTGGGGGAAGATGTAGCTGGGGCCTCAGCTGGGGCCTTGGTCCTGACTGAGGTACCATAGTCTCACCCTGACCCTGCTCAGAAGCCCCATGGTCGGTCCTTCTTCCCCTGAGTGTGGGTTCCAGGCCCAACTTGCCTGGTTGGATTGGGGGCATGGCACCCCATTCACCTCCAGGCCTTCCCTCCTATACTAGCCTGGTCTGTCTGTGGCCCACAGTGGGTGCAGTGGCTGCCTGGGTTTTGCCATGCTTCCTCTGGCAGGGATGGGCTATCCCAGGAAAGTGCCCATCTGGGCCTGGGGTGGGGCTGAGGAGATTCATCTGAACCTTGGGCCACAGAAGCCACACTGTGTGGGTTTCGGGGTTGGGCTGAGATTTAACAGGGGTTTGAGGTTCTCCTGGGGTCCCACTGTCTCCTCACCCTCACCCTGCCACTGAAATGTAACCTGGGACTTCCTGGTGGCAGGCCTGGGGTGAGCCAGAGTGGGGCTGGTTGGGAGGCTGTAGGCAGTGATGTGGGGCCAGGTGGCCCCAGCCCTGGGAAGAGGGACCATGCCTACATGCTCTTGGCCTGGGGAGAGCCCCACAGCCTTGGGAGGCATGTGGGAGAGTCCAGACTCTTCCAGACAGGCTCTGGAGGTGCTGCCCCCTTGTTCTGGGTGCCCCCTCCCCTGGGTGGGGCTTCAGGCGCTGAGTCATGGCTTCGGTGGGGAAGCCTGCCTCACCCTCCTCCTTGTCATCCAAGCCGCTGAAGAAATCCTGGAGGGAGGGCAGGAGAGAAGGCCTTAGGTCCTTGGAGGCTGAGGCTCCCAGGACAGAGTGCTGGTTCTTTGCTCTCTGCAGAGCACCCACCTTGCCCCCGTGAGCACGTTCATCAGCATCTGGTGCGGGGCGGCCCCACCCTTGCAGGGGGACCCCCCTCCTTGCCCAAGCGCAGCAGCTGCTCAGGGCCGCCTCTACTCCTGGGTGGGTGGTCTGTCCCTTCTCTGGAACTCAGAGTTCCCTTAGTTCCACTGGAAGGGATGGGCGCTGCCCAGGAAGGAGCCCACGTCCTGCCAGAGAGGGTGGTGGGAAGCTTCCAAAGTCCCTGGCTGGGGCGGCCGGGTGCCCTCCCAATGGCTCCCAATTGTGGGCACGCAGAATTATACATCTCTTGTGAGGGACCAGGTCCCTGACCGCAGGCCTGGGAAACCCTGGAACACAGCGCCCCCCTGCGGGCCGTGGGGGCAGCGGGGGGCTGCTATACCTGGATGGCCTTCCCTCTGCCCCACCCCCACCTAAGACCTGTCCCTGGAGGCCTGCCTCTTACTCCTGGGCCCCCGTTGTCATCCCTGGCCCTCATGCCCAGTTGTCCTTCATCCCCAGGAGGCCAGATGGGCCCAGTTCACCAGCTGAGCGGGTTGGGGGGGTGGGGGGGTGGCGCTGGGATCCTGGCCCTCTTTCCCTATTTCCTGTTCCCAGAACAAGGGAGGGGGGTCACGTGCCCGATCCATCTGCCTCGCCTTCCGGGGATTCTCCCGTCTGTGGCCTCTCTGGTGATGTCATTCCTTAACTCTTAGCTCCCTGAGGCAGCCCCACTGTCAGGCTGTTGTGGTGGGAGTGGGCGCCTCTGAAGCTTGTCCCACCATTCCCTTTGGGCAAACTGTGCTGTTCGGCATTCTGAGGTTGGAGGTGCCAGGAGGCACCCCTCCACAGTTAGTCTGGGATCTCACGCTGCTGCCAGGCCAGAGAAAGCAGCGGGCGCATGCTAACGGGCCCTGGGACTGGTCTGCCCCCGGGGTCCACGGGCCCAAGGTGGGGTCTGGGGTCAGCTCAGCCCCAGAGAAGTGCGGTGGCTCAGCCAGGAGAGTGGCCAGGAAGTTGCAGCCCCTCCCTCTGTCCTCGGGGGCTTGTCTGACCTCCTGTCCCTGGACCCACAGCAGCCAGACCCCAGATGGAGACATCACAGCTGACCGGGCCTCTTCCTGCCTGGGCTGGTGGTGGGTGCTGGGTGGCTGTGGAGTCAGCTGGACCTGGGTGCCAGTCCCTCACCCTCTGCCCAGGGGGGCATCTGCCTTTCCCAGCTTCAGTTTCCTCCATGTCTGAGGAGCATGGGACAGCAGGGGGGCTGACCAGAGCAGGTAGCCGGACCCACTGCACATCCTCATGGGGAGGGGAGGGGCACGGGGCGAGGAAGCCCCAGCCTGACCTGACCCTCGGGCCCTGCGGCTTGCGGTGGGTTGGTCTGCAGCCACCTTCGTTCCCGTTGCAGGGCTACTATTGATGAGGTGGAAACTGACGTGGTGGAGATCGAGGCAAAACTAGACAAGGTGAAGGCAGGGCCCGGGGTGCCTGGAGGGTCCAGGGCTGCCTCTCTGCCCCCATGCCTGGCCCCGGCTGGGTGCACGCACAGGCACGCATGTGTGCGAGAGTGTGCGTGCGCGCGTGTGCGCAGGGCATGTCACCTCTGTGTGCGGTGCACAGGACCTGGGGCTGTCCCTCGCTCTCCCGGCTGTGGCCTACCATACCTGTCCCAGGGTGCACATGCTGCTTGCACATGTGAGTCTCCCATGGAGTGGGGGTTGGCCTTGGTGGGGCCAGGGGGTGCCCAGGGTGCTTCCCAGGGACTGGGTTGGGCGCCCAAGGGAAGGGGCCGGGGAGGAGAAGGGGGAGAAAGGAGGGGCAGCATCTCTGAGCGCCTTCGCTGGCCGGTCCTGCCAGCCCTTGGCCAAGACCACGTGCCCACTCCCGCCCTCGGTTCCCCCGCTTTGGGCTTCCCTGTCCTGCTCCAGC